GGTAAATCCAAACATTTTTGAAAAACTTAAGGGTAAATCCGAACATTTTTAAAAATTTAAGGGCTTTACTGGCATTAGGTAATCGGTAGGTTACCTAGAAACCGGATACAAGTGTAAAAATGAAAAAATTAAAAAAAAAAATAGGCTTTACTGGACATAAAACACGTCCAAGGGTAAAACCAACATTTTTGTGAAAACTTAAGGGCTTTTATGTCATTTCCCCCGGAAAGACATATAAACACAGCACATGCAAGAGTCACGAAGACAACTAGCATACTAACAACACAATGTAAACATAGGCTAGCCTTGGTGCCTTCGACCCACTAAACCCGGTAAGGAAACTCACATCGAATGCTGAAAGATAAATGATAAATCCTCGATCCGAGAAACAGCTCTACTCAACCCCTAAACAGAAACAATTCCTTAGATATCGATCCATACTTCAAAACCTATAAATGGTCAAACTTGGCCAAAGTCAAAGTCAAAGTCAATGCTCCGAGTTGCCTCAACTCGTCGAGTTTCCATCAAGCATAGAATCGCGATATTTCGAATCAACTTGTCGAGTTTCCCTTAAACTCGTTGAGTTCCTCCTTATTCAACAAAATCGGGACAATCCCAACCCAACTCGTCGAGTTCCCTTATGAAATCATCGAGTTCATCAGTCTGCCTACCCACTTAATGCATTAAGCCACTAATCTTCAAACCAAAGCTCTATCTTCCAAATCTAGACTGATAATGTGTCTAGAAGGGTAAAGTTTCCAACTTTACCCATGAAGAACCACTCCAAAGGCATTAAGCTTAAACCTTGATCTTAAAAGGCTTATGTCTTATTCCAGAAACCACCATATCTTCAAGATAGAGCTCATGAGCACAGATCTAGACCTTAAAGGCTAAAAGGTCACGTAAAGTATTCAACTTTACTCACATGCATGGCCAAAAGAAGCTTAATAGGCCAAAAAAAGTGCTTAGACGTTGCATGGATCTCTTAGGGCCATAAAGTTGGCACCTTTATGCCATGAAAGCTCCTCAAGACCCTAGATCTGAAAGGGTTTGTGCATATGGGACATCCAACTCCCAATGACCACTTCTTTTTGACAAAAACAAGCAAAAGAACACTAAGATGAGGATCTAAGTAACTACAAGGCAAGATTGAGACTTTTTACCATAAGGATGTTGAAAATGAAGCAAGGATTTTCGATCTAGCAGCTCCTTCTTGTATCTCCAAGTTCTCCTTTCTTCCAATGGCTCCAAACATACACAACACACTCAAGACTGGCTCATAATTTTTCAAAGATGCCCTAGGGTTTCGAGGTTAGGGTTTAGGACAATGTAGGCTGGAAATGAAGCCAACTTATGGGGCTAAAGTTGTTTTAATAGGGTACAAAACTCCGAAATTAGGGTTTCATTTCTTCCAGACAACTCGTCAAGTGAAGGTCTCCTAACTCGTCGAGTTGACCACTTAAAAACATGCGGTCCATAACATTTCTACACGACGAGTTGGGGCTACCAACTCGTCAAGTTTCTCTACAAAAATGAATACTTTAGAAGTTAAATACATACCAATAACCATGCGTTACATGTTGCAATCCTAAGTCGATCCTAGAGTCCCAGGCCCGAATCAACCCTACATCAGCGATATCAGGCATCGATGGTGATTTCACGACCTCACTTTTACGGGTTTTAAAGATTTGACAGTGGGAATACATGCTTATCAAACTACTTTATCAAAATATATTTTTGTAAATATATAGTAGTTTATGTAAAACATGAAACGATAGGATAATATGTCAATAGAAACTCTACCTAGTCTTAAGCAATGATATTATGCCTAATTGTTATTTACCCGATATACTAGGAAAAGGTTACACATAAATGTTATGTTGGCCGATTTCCTATGATAAACTTTGTACCTAGAAGTAATGTTGGCCGAATTTAAGGATATGCATTGTATTTAGTTGTTACTCTGCCCTAATATCGTGTTGTATGTCAAAATTTAGATGTTTGGTCAAAAATGTTTTGGAGTTGAAGCAGTGGTCTAAAACTTTCATTTTGTTATAGTTTGGTACATTTTGTTTTGAATTTTTTTTAAATGATGAATTTTCCCTTTAATTTAGTTTTTAAATTTTCTTTTTTTATTACAAAAATTACAAAAAAAAAATACTACCCTACCCCTAATCCACCCTCCCCCCCCCTCTCATACCATAATTGGTAAATCCTATCACTACTACCACCATCCTCGGTCGTCGCCGCCAATACCGTCGTCGATCACCGCCACCACCACCACCCCCGTCGGTCACTGTCGCCAACATCGGTCACCACTGCAACGCAAATTTTCCATATCTGAATAACAAAACACTAAGATAATTTTAAATCTACAATTTCAAATTAAAACTCATAGATTCGAACACTTTTTTCTAGATCTGAAAAATAAAACATTCTATTTTTTCTTGATTTGCAACCTTAAAATCAAGAACAAATAGAAGGTCTGGGCAAGTTCAAACCCTAACGAAATCAGATGGTATGGGCGAGTTTGAAATTGGATCTGGAAAGACGAAAAAGAGTGGGCTGAGCTCCAACAACGAACATATGTGTAGCTCCAAGAACAAACATATGGTACGGGCCCTTTGACGGTTCTGAAAACATTTCTTCGAAGCTGCTAGTGATAGCAAACCCTTCGTTTTATCAAATCGTAACATCACCGCAACCATCTTCAGATTTGGAAAGGCGAAGGATATGGCAAAGTAGGAAAACCCTAAACGAGCGACGACGCTAGGGTTTCGGTATCTCGTAGCTCATATTCGTTGTTAGAGAATGGTAGATTTAAAGAGAGAAGAAAATGAAGTTAGGGTTTCTAAAAATGCGATATCTTGAGCTAGGGTTTCTTATATGTGGTCGTGGCGATGAAGTGGGCGACACCGGAATATGCGTTGAATGACGACAATAACGGTGGCGAGTTTCAAACATACTCCGTCATTAGACCTCCACTGTCACCAACCGAACCCTTCTTCATCTTTCCAGATCTAACGAGAAGGTGTTACATTTGAAAACAAATGATGGCAAGATGGTAATGCTCCGTTAAATCTTTCGGCTGCAAGTGGTTGTACCGATCGGTGGTGATTGTGGCGTTCATAACTCGAGTTGGTGGTGGTGATGGTGATATTTTCTATTTGTGAAAATCAAATGAAGATATATATATATATATATATATATATATATATATATATATATATATATATATATATATATATATATAGAGAGAGAGAGAGAGGGAGGGGGTTGTTTTATTTTGTATTTTTTAAACTTTTTCCGTAATCAAAAAATTAAAAAAACATAATAGAAAAATGATAAAATAATTTTAAAAAAAAATACCAAGCACAAACCTATCATTGAAAAAAGGTTTTGAAAATCAACTTCAAAACATTTTATACCAAATATCTAAATTTTAACATACACTTTATACCAAATAGCTAAATTTTAACATACACAGGACAAAACTTGTAATTTTGTTAATCATTACCATCTGTAAAAAAACGAACGGTAAAGATTCGATCTCTAAATCCCCTGAACGACAGCTGTTCCTGTTTTTCTCCTTTTACGTACCGTCGATGGCGGATTAGCCGAAGGTTTATCACTTTATCTAACCATCCGACGTCGTTTCCTTCTGCTTATTTATATGCCTTTTTCTATTATTTGGGTCTTCTGTAAGAACTTGTCTAGTCAAATTTCAGTTCTTGTTGCGAGTTGTCTCGTACGGAACGGGCCTTTCCTCTGTCTTCAAATCCCTAGGTTCGTACCATCCATCATTTTCCCTGCGTCTTCCTGTTTTTCATAGATTTTCTTTTTGATGTTCTTCAGTTCATATATCTGAATCAACTTAAAGGTTTTTTTTCTTCTTCTTCTTCTTTTGATTGAGATCGTTGCTCACGTCGTTTAGTTTTAATTTCTGGTAAGGGACACCAATTTATAAAAATTGAACTCATAGACTTCGATTTTTAACTTTTATCTCGACGTTGTTGTGGTTAATCGCCGAATTGTGCTGCTTAGATGACGAGGGTTGACATTAGTCAATGGATTGTAGCTTGTTAGCAATTTCGGTCCATCGCGAAAGAAATGTAGCTTTATGTTTGTCCATTGAAGTCGCTAAAAATTGGGGGAAAAACCTATAAAAAGACTAAAAAAGGTTATCGTTTTGTTCTATTCGTCAAATGAAATCATATATCGAGAATCAATCTTTTGATTTTTTGAATTTGAATTGTGCTACATAGATTTTAAATAGAAACATTTTACACCTTTTTTTGTCTGATTTATAGAGCCATTTGCACTTGAAATGTGAAAAGAACCTTAATGATAGGATTTTTTTACGATTATTCATAGATTACCTTTGATGATGTGACATTCCATAGGGTGGATGCCCTAGCTTGCTTATCATTAGTTAATTTTGTATGATTTAGAGGAACTTATGCTGCATGTTTTTAACTAGTTTCTTTTTTGCCATGTACACTACAAATCAAAACCACAATACTCAGTATACTATACGTATCCGGTTGGCATCATAAGTTATTTATAAATTTCATTTCCATATTCCATTCGTTTGTATTAACAAATTTCTGTTCATAATCTTACAGGTTTGTGGTATCAGTTTTCAATTCCTGGTGCTTTGAAATATAAGTCCCAATCAGTTACTAAAACTTATACACTGTAGATGCAATCAGCCTGCATTTTATCCTGTGTAAGCTACTATCAGCTCACATTGCAAGGCTATTCAACTACTGCAGTAAGCTTGAACATAAGTGACTTTCATAAACAAAACCTGATGAAGTAAATGGAGTGATGAAGTTGTATATGATAGAATAACAACGTTACCATGTCGGAAGGACTTTAACATTAATGAGATGTACACCATGTATGTTTAGGTATCTTTTCGTAAAAAAAATATATATATCATATTTAGTTATTTAGGAAAAAAAAAAAAACCTTTTATTTAGTCATTTAGGAAAGTTATGGAAGTGCCAAAAAAGAAGTTTCCCCTTGATGCAAAGGATTACAAGCTATATGAGGAAGTTGGTGAAGGAGTCAGTGCTTCAGTGTATAGGGCACTTTGTGTTCCATTGAATGAGATAGTCGCGATAAAGGTTCTTGATTTGGAAAAATGTAATAATGACCTGGTATGTTCTTTTTTTTTTTTTTTTTTTAATTAATATTTTACCATTTAGTTATGCACACTTTGAAAGTATGAAATGACAAAAGTGTCCTTGTTGGTTTGAATTAGGATGGAATCCGACGCGAAGTACAGACAATGAGCTTGATCAATCATCCGAATTTATTAAGGGCATATTGCTCTTTCACAACAGGCCATAGTCTGTGGGTTGTTATGCCATATATGGCTGGGGGATCGTGTCTTCACATAATGAAATCATCTTTTGCAGAAGGTTTTGAAGAGCCTGTTATTGCTACATTGTTGAGAGAGGTTCTTAAAGCTTTGATTTATCTTCATGCTCATGGCCATATTCATAGGGATGTGAAAGCAGGGAACATATTAGTTGATTATAATGGTTCCATTAAGTTAGCAGATTTTGGAGTTTCTGCATGCATGTTTGATGCTGGTGATCGACAACGTTCAAGAAATACATTTGTGGGAACTCCTTGTTGGTATATTTTTTTTTGTCTTTTTTTTTTGTATTAAATGAAGTTGTTTTATACTTGTATTGTTTTTTTTTTAAGTATTTATTACGTATTTTCATAGGATGGCACCTGAAGTTATGCAGCAATTGCATGGATACGACTTCAAGTAAGTCGCGATTCATTTGTTCATTTATTATCACACCATCTTTTTTATTATATAATGAATTAAAAAAGTATATTTCATGTTAACAGAGCAGACATCTGGTCATTTGGAATCACAGCACTAGAGCTAGCTCATGGACATGCACCCTTTTCCAAGTATCCACCAATGAAAGTAATTACATTAAATATCTCTTTAGAAATCATTATTTTCATTTACCAAATTACAAATTTTTAACTTGATTTCGCCAATTAGGTTTTGCTTATGACTCTGCAAAATGCACCACCGGGTCTCGATTATGAAAGGGACAAGAAATTTTCAAAGGTTTGTGTCATCTTAAATTTTAAGTCCACTATTGTATTAATGCTAAAACTAGTAATGTTTTGCAGTCTTTTAAAGAAATGGTGGCTGCTTGTTTAGTGAAAGACCCAAAGAAACGTCCCTCTTCTGAGAAGCTATTGAAGCATCCTTTCTTTAAACATGCAAAAACAGCTGATTATTTGGAACGTACTATTCTTGATGGACTTTCTCCCTTAGGTGATCGGTTTAGGATGCTAAAGGTAATGTCAAACTTTGACTTTTATAATTCATGAGTCGTGTTTCTACTTTCTAGTTATTTATTTGTTTTCTTTTTTAGGCCAAAGAAGCCGATCTTATTGTACAGAACAAGGATTTATATGGAGATAAGGAACAGTTATCACAGGTGAAATTGCTATGTTTACAGAGTATCTAATCCTGTTTACAATTTATTGTTCTGATTTCTTACATCATGCAGCAAGAGTATATACGAGGAATTAGCGCGTGGAACTTTAACTTGGAGGATTTAAAGAATCAGGCTGCACTTGTATGTGTTCAAATATATAAGACAAGACAAGAAATATCAGATTTGATCATGAAATGCTTGTTTTTTTTTACGTTATTACCCTTTATGGCAGATCAATGACTTGGATGAAATTTCAAATGTAGAAGACCCGAAAACTACAGAGCAACAAAATGGAGTCAATGGTGTTACATTACCACCAGAAGAGTTGCCCCCTGAGATAGATAATAATAATAATAATCATTCAGATGCTAAAACAGGTGATGAGATTCCTATTTTGGAGAATTCATTAGCATCATTTCCAATAGAGCCTCTTCAAGCACTCGAGTAAGATCCATATGTATTTAATTACCCAAATTTCACATTTTTCATTACATGATGTGAAGTTTAGAAACGTGTTACATGAATTCAGGGGATGTTTTGATGTCTGTGAGGATGACGTGGCGACTGTTAGCCCAACTGGACAAGATGAGAATCCATTAAGCCCTGTAAAGCTGCCATTAAAAACTAAGGACCAAGAAACCGAAACAAGCGAAAATGTTGTAGTAAAAAAGTCTTTACAGAGAATTACTATCACTGGGTCGAAAAAATTTATGAGTGGTTCATTACTACCTGACAATGTTCTTTCTCCTAATAAGTTAGTTGCCAATGGTGAAAGGTATTAATATTAATTAATTTATACACTGGTAATAAGATCATTCATTTTATTTATATTAATTCTAAACTATTTTATAAATAAATGAAGGGATCATCTCCAACCGAGATTCCGAGTTGAGCGAAATTACAGTGGTCCATTACAGCATCTTCATAAGAACAATATGAGTAAGATATCTTTAAATGACTAAATTGCCCTTTGTTTGTCTTTCCTAATATTAACTTTAGCTTCTTTGTTGTCTGGTGCAGTAGAAGATGTACCAGGAGCTGTGGTTCAACTTAAGGGACGTTTTAAAGTCACTGAAGCAGATTTTACCCCAAAGGTATATATAATTAATTATTTACTATTTACTGATCCACAATTGGACTGTATTTTTTTTTTAATATTCAATGAATTTGTAAACATTGAGTTTCAGGCGCCAGGTGGCATGCCTAGTCCTCCAACTTCAACTGTACCAGTTGCCTCTCTTCTTCCATCCTTACAAAGCATGTTGCAGCATAACACATCACAAAGGGTAAATCATGTTTGACTCTATCATCCCAAATTACAAATTTACCCTCTAGCTAGATTGTGCTTATTTTACTTGTTTCTGTTTTCAGGAAGAAATACTCGGATTAATCAAGTCTGTGGAGCAAGCTTCTGGTTCTTCAGGCAATCAGACAGAGCACGTGGAGACAGGAAACGGGGATATTTCACAAGTAATGGAGCCCTAAACCTATTAACAATAATTTAATTTTTTTTGTGAAAATATATTTATCAAGGATTGAATTATGACATGCAGACCCCTCCTACTTTAAGGGAGAGAGAACTGCATTCTCAGGTGATCCAGTTACAACAAAGGTATGTTGCCGATGAAGATGCATTAGCCATTATTTTATTTGTGGTGCATGTGAGACATTTTTATTTAAAGAAACGGTTTGTTTATTTGCAGCATAGAGAGTCTGGTTGAGCAATTGCAAAGACAGAAGATGAGAAATGCTCAGGTTTGTTTACATTCTAAACAATAATTTTTTATTAAACATTAATTTA